TTTGAATCCTGGCTCTTCACCCAACTAACCAGACCTTACACAAGTTATTTTATCTCTACAAGTCTTTGCATTCCCATCTGTGGAATGGGTGTGGTAGAGGGCTGATGTGTGTGTGTGAAGGGGAGATTTGCCTTAGGAACTCTAGGGCCCTTCTGAGAAATGGGATAAAGACCCTAACCCCTTTTTTCCATTACCCAGAACTCCGGAAACTTGTCTAAGGGGACAGGTCCAGTGGTTAGGGAAGAACAACAGGCCTTGCTCCAGTCATTGAAGGGGTCCAGTCCCATGATACAGTGTGTACACTATTGACCCTTGTTGGGGCCCAGCTTCCTGACAGAAGCTTCCACCTGGCAGAAGGGATCTAAGAGCTAAAAGAGCCCAAGAAAACACAGTTTGAAGCTCCTTTATTGGGCACAGCAGTGGGGTAAAGGAGCAGCAGAGAGAGTCAATCCTCTCTGAAGCACTATGCCGGCAACGGTGAGGGCCCCTGGAATCTGGAGACCTGAACAAGTCCTGGGGACTCCTGCACACTTAGGAGGGAGTTGGTGTCTTCTGACAGCCTGTGACTCACCGAGCCCGGTGCTAAGCACGGATAGGAATCTGGAGGCGTGCAGGAGAGTCCTACCCACCTAAGTCTGCGTGCGTGCATGCGTGTGAGTGCGTGTGCACGGTAAATGAAGGTGGGGTGAACTTCGCTACCTTTCTGGTGACACAGAAGAACCTCCAGGCTGGGGGTCTGGAGACGCGCTGTAGTGCAAGGTCAGCTCAGTTCACTAGGCGACTATGGGACGTTCATTTCCTGCCTGGATCTCACTTCATCTATAAAATGGGTTGAACCTATTCTTTTTTTTTTTTTTAATTTTTTTTTAATGTTTTATTTATTTCTAGGAGAGAGAGAGAGACAGTGTGAGCAGGGGAGGGTCAGAGAGAGAGGGAGACACAGAATTGGAAACAGCCTCCAGGCTCTGAGCTGGCTGTCAGCACAGAGCCCGACGCGGGGCTCGATCCCACGAACTGTGAGATCATGACCTGAGCGAAAGTCGGACGCTTAACTGACTAAGCCACCCAGGCGCCCCTGGTTGAACCTATTCGTAAGGCTCCTTCCAACCACAGTGGCCTACAGATAGATAATCATTTGTTATTCCATTCTTGTTTCCCACTCACTTTCCAAAGGCCTCTTCCCAGCTCGGAATCTGTTCTCCGTCAGGGGCTGTCTGGGTCAGCCTTGCACGCATGTGACAGGGGTGGAACAGACGTGAGATTCCTTAGCCAAGACGCCCATAGAGAGCACAGGTGTCCTGTGTATACCGTTTATTGTTGATTCTGTACACCAAGTTTGTTACAGGCAGTGTCCAGCAAAGATGGACCCCCAACCCTGCCCACCAGGGCTCACACTCTATAAAACCCTGGGGGCCTAGAAATCTCTAAACGCATCACCAAGCACCTGGGATTATTTGCAGTGATTCTCTAAGCGAGGCGAATACGATCTACTTTTGAATCCAGCATGAAGGCAACAGGTTGGTGAGAAGGAGCTGTCTGTCCGTAGGTGAAGGAGAGATCCAGGATGAGAGGAGTCTGGCCTGGAGAAGCACCCGCCCTGCCCACCCCCAGAACCCCAGCGATGGCTTCTTCCCCGAGCCCACCACCACGTCCCCAACAGCCTGGATTCAGTTCTGACTGTAAGATCAGTGGGCTGAACCCAGAGAGGTTTGTAGCTAAAGGCTGGGATACAGTCGATGCCTGGTTACTGGCTCTGGTTATCTAGTTATGTTTAGCTGTCTGCTCTGCATACGCTTCCCGAGTTTGGAAGCAGATTCCTGAAACTGCTCTGCACGGACGTCTGAAGGGTTGTGAACTTGCGTGGTTGGCCGTGAAGAGTCCTGAGAACTGAGTTGTGCCCTTAACTTCCAAAGACGAAGAGCAGCATACACACAGCCCAACAATTTCCATGAGAGAACAGGTGGGTGAGCTTCACGTTTTCCTGTACTGACCAAGCTTCTGGTCCACACAGTACCCACCCGAGGTTCCCATGCCTAAGACAATAAGAAGCAACAGGAGAGCGACTCCCACTTTCTTTCCTGATGAAAGCCCAGGACAGGCCAGAAGGTCTTATTCGAAGTTTGAAGAGAAAAAGGAAACCCACAGCCCACTGAATAACGCTGCAGAAGAAAGACTGATTTTAGACCCATTTCAAAGGGATGATGGTAGCGCCTATGCACAAGGGGGTTGTGAAGTTCAAAAAGAAAATGCTCGTTACGTGCTTTAAACGGTGTCTGTGCGCAGCAAACATTTTTGCAAACCAGTGGTTCTAATTGGGTTTTACTGTCTTTCCTGCAATATCGACCCTTCACTCCAAGTGGAGGCTGTGGGTCCTGGCGAGGTGAAAAATCAAAATGAACTCTGTGCCCTACCTCAACATTGGGGGACAGAGCAGCTCACTCTGGCACTGAGAAGTGAGCACACGCCATGCGTTGGTGGAAAGGAAACTCCATCCAACTTTTTCTGCTAGCTTCCCGACCAGAGAACATGGTGTTGAGAGGCCAAAACACCGGCTGAAGAATAGGAGACCCAATGGCTCCCTCCAATGCACCCTGATGAGAGAAAGGAACAGGCAAGCCCAGAGGGGCAGGGCAAGGGTTCACCACCCCTGCCTGGAGGGAGGGGGTGCTCCTGCATGCAGTCATGGGGGGACAGCTGTCCTCAGGCCAGCTGTTAGCCTGGGAAAGCATGTCGATATCCTGGGCCCAAGAGGAAGGCGCTCCAACGTCATGGCCAATGCCAGAAACACCCAAGAGTTCTGCGTTCAGATTGGCAGGACACGTTGGCTGAAGAGGACTCACCCCTCACATCCCTGCCATCTCTGGCCCACCCACACCCTTGTACAATGAGACACTGGAGGCAGTGCCAAACCATGCTTCCCATCTGGAGGAAAGCAGGCAGCTTCCCCTGATGGCCCCAGGATCGAATAGGGCGGCACCATCAGTGGAATGATGCCCATGCCCCACGCTCTGGGCTCACTTCCTCTCATGCCCAGATTCTCCGGGACAGACAGTAAAAAACTACTAAGTGTACTAGTTTGTACGCACTTCCCTTCCTGGACACTCTTTGCTGGAACCTGGCAGCCTCGTGCCGCTAAGGCCTCGGGGGATTGATTTCCTATTTATCTTGTGCAGAGGAAACGAGTAAGAACCAGTCAGGATTTCCAATCGTGACAGCATTGGCTGCGGCTCTTTCCTGAGCAGACACAGGCACCTGCAATTCTCCATTCCACTGTTTTTACTTCTAAACTGGTAGACCAGTTGTCCAGACAAAGACGCGAGGTACCCTCAGCAAAATGTCTCTACCAGTGTGAATGGGTGTGGAGCAGGAGGGGGGTGGACAAAGGCAGGCATTTAGGTGAGTATGGTAACCCCAGACCAACCGACTCTCATAACCAGGCCACAGGCACAAGGTGCTCCAGAGAGCCCCCTGACCCAGCGTGACCTATCTGCGTACCCTGATGTTGCCTGCGGTATGTGATGAGTGTCCGGGTCTTAGCTGACTGGTGAGGGATTTCACCACACCAGCAGGGGTACCAGCTTCTATTACACTTGGCTGTTCAATGAAAGGATCTCATCTCTGAACTATTTCACTTCCCTCAAATGCAGAGTGAAAATTAAAAACAGATATAGGCATAGCATGCCCATAAAAGGACCGGGCAGAAGGGCCTCCAATGAGCAGCAGACAGCTTGCTGGCAGAGAAAGGTCCTCTGCCGTCGAGATGCCTCTGACCTGGCCAGAGGCGTGGGGATCTAATAACATCTGCTGTCCAGGCCAGAACATACCCACATCTTCTCCTCCACCCCTGACGGCTGGGCCTTTGCAAGGGCCGGCCAGCAGGGACAGTAAGGGGCCATCCCAGCTCATGGAGACCCATCTCCAAAAGCCTCTCTTCTCCAGTAAAAGCCCAGGATGGAGGATACTAGTGATGTCCTGTTTCGTGATGTGGAGGCTGATTACACGGGTATGACTGTGAAGATACATCAAACTCTACATGACCACACTCCCACGTCTCTGTATGTACGTTACACTTCAATAGAGAGTGAAAAGAGAAAAACCCTAGGGGTGGACATAAGGACCACCCAGGTGCCAGGGTGCTTTCTCTGTCTGGTACCAATAAGCTGATTTTAAATGTTTTTAGGGGTCAGACATTCTACATGATCTTCTTCCTCAAAGGACCAAAATTTTCAAAGCAAAGTTTGCAGTTCAGAAATATTCTCTACAAGGCAGACTCATTGCACTGGTGCCCTTCTGCCTTTTCCAGATAACAATCCCCGTGAGAGATGCTGACAGCGGCTTTCCCCACGGGAACTGAGCGACATCGTCTCTCCTTGTCTCTCTTTCACAGCATCCAGAAGCCAGGGCGCTAGGCCGCTCTTAGGAAGCCAGCTGAGTGAGTGGAAGCCTTCTTTGAGAAGAGAACTCACCCTGCCTTCAGAAGCAGAATATCAAGGGAGATCTTTCATTTCAGGGGACAGGGGACAGCCATGCCACAGATGGGGGAGAAGCGAAGGAAGGGGAATCAACTTACATCATACTTGGAATAGAAGCTGCCCCCGGGAGAACCATTCCCACAGAGTGAGCAGGCATGGGAACGGAGTCTACAGAGGCCAGCAGGGCCGTGGGCACAGAGAAGGTTGTTCTTGGAGAAGAGCTGGTGGGGCTGTGGAGAAGGGCTTTCTTGAATGAAGCCCAGGAACATGAATTAGCAACCCCATGTGTTTTTTGCCATGGCCAGTTGGATCTCCCTGGCCTTAAGAAGGCCTGGCAAGAGCTGATTCTCCTGTAGTTCTCTATAGGAAAACCAGGCAGGTTAGGAAAAAGTGGGGGTGCTTTTCTCTCGGGGACTGGAGAGGGAGCAAGGGATGGCTCTGTGGACCAAGGGGTGGAGGCAGAATGATGGGATTCCCAGATCATCCAGTGGTCCCACTGTCCCCCAGCTCCACCTCCAGCCCACCTCTTCAACACTCATTGGGTGCCTTCATCTGCATCAGGACCGCATGGCTCCTCTTCTTGCAGCAGCAACAGCAGATGCAGGCAGCCAGGGAACAGGCCAGGGCAATGATGCCAATGACAATGGCGGCAATGGCCAGACCGCTCTGGGTCTGGGTCATGCCCCACGTACTGCGGTCACCAGTGACGTCAACGGTGGTCAGATCGGTGTAGTCCTCCACAGAGCTGGTGAACTCAGTAGTGGAGGGGATAGGGGTGGTGTCAGGGTAGCTGGGTGTGTCCGGGTACCGTGGTGTTTGTGGGTAGCTGGGCACCTCGGGGATCGCTGGGACCTGGACGCTGGGGACAGCGACATTGACATTGATGATGATGAGGGACTGGCCTCGGACATTGGGTGGGCTGAAACATACCGGGAGAGTGTCTGTCCCCAGCCTGGGCTGGTTGACCAGAAGCCAATTGCGGAGCGGTAGGATGTCCGAGTCACACCTCCAGGGGTTGTCATAAAGCCTCAGCTCACACAGGTGCCCCAGGTGATCGAAGATGCCCAGGGGCAGATTCTCCAGCTGGTTGTTCTGCAGCTGGATGGTCATGAGGCCATTGACATTGGCGAAGATATTCCCTGGGAGCTGTCTTAGGCGATTGTTCTGCAAGGAGATGTTCTGTAGATTGACCAACATGCGGAAGACGTTCCCATCCAGCTCTTGCAGCGCATTGGTGTGGAGGGACAGCTCCCGCAGCTCTGCCAGCCCATTGAAGGCATCTGGGGATATGTAGTTGATCTGGTTACGACTGAGAATCAGGACCTGCAGCTGGCGGAGGTTGCTGAAGACGTTGTCAGGTAGAGAAGTGATGTGGTTGTCATAGAGCCAAAGCTCACGCAGGTTGTGCATGGGCCCAAAGATGCCTGGAGAGAGCTCCTTCAGGGAATTCCCAAAGAGCGTGAGACGGTTGAGCTGGGGCAGCTGCATGAAGATGCCCGGGGGCAACTGGGAGATGTGGTTGTTGGACAGATAGAGCTTCTGGAGGTTACGGTTGTTGTGGAAGAGGCCAGGGGAGAGCATCCCAATCTGGTTCTGCTGTAGGGCCAGTTCCTGGAGGTTTCCGCACCCATCAAAAGTGCCCATGGGGATGTCTGAGAGCCTGTTCTCATACAGCCTGAGGACCTGGAGGTTGCCCAGGCGCTGGAAGACCCTGGGCGAGAGGTGGGTGAGGCTATTCTTGCCGAGATTGAGCTTGGTGAGGCCCACCAGGTGGTCGAAGACACCATCAGGGATATATTCCAGGTGGTTGCCATGCAACTGCAGCTCTTTGAGGTTGCTGAACTGGGAGAAGTGTGCCGGCTGGATCTGCACCAGCTGGTTGCTGGACAGAAGGAGCGACTCGAGGTTGTCCAGGCCCTGGAAGAGGCCAACAGGCAGGACCTGAAGCTTGTTGTTGGCAAGGCTGAGGTACCGCAGCGAGCCTAGGTTACGGAAGGCACCAGGCATGATGTGGGACAGCTCATTCTTCTCAATCCTCAGGGCAATGAGGGCTGAGATGTTGAGGAACGGGGACTCGTTGAGCTCGGTGATGTGTGTGTTGAGGATCTGCAGGCTCATGGCGTTCCAGGGCAGGGGAGTGGGCACCGCCACGATGCGCGCACCGGTGCACTCCACCTGGGAGGCCCTGGAGCAGGTACACTCAGTTGGGCAGCCATAGTAGGCCAGCCCCGTGCTCCAGGCTTGGCAGCCCACCAGCAAAAGAAGGTAATGTTTCAGTGACATGGCCTCTGCAAGGGGAGAGAGCACATGTGAGTCAGGGTCATCTCACCAACACTGCTGTTACTTTTAAGCCGACATCAACCTTTGGTGCCAAACACTGGCTTGCCTTTGAACCCCACAACCACATGCCCTGATGTATGCTACTTACAGTCCAGTCAATAAGCCCCTTAGCCTTCCCACATGCCTTTACTCAAGCAAATATCCCCACTCGGAGTGCTCCTTGTCCTCATCCAAATCTTCCCCATACTTCCAAGTCTAGGTCAAATGCAGTCACCTCTAGGAAGCTTTCCCCCATACGCCTTGAGTCAGCATTAGTTATCCTCCCACGCAGGTGGTCTTCCCAGAGTCCATTATGGCCATGCCACAGCTGGCCTCATTTGGAATTCATTGAGTCCCCGTCCTTCTCTAGTCAATAAGCTTTTCAAGGGCAAAGATGTTCATCAATCATCCCTAGAGATTCCCTAAGGCAGGAGCAGTGTCTTGTCTGGATACAAGACTCTGGATCAGACGCATCTGTGTATCCCTCACAGCACAACTTAACTTGATGGTTGAACATGACCTCCTCGGGAGGAGAGATAGGAAATGAGACCTGGGAGAAGATGCTAAGACCACAAACACGGACGTCTGCTGGGAAAGCAGCAACAGCAGTCAGCAAAGGTGGGATGCACCGCTGATCTGGCAGAAAGGATGAGAGGGCAAGTTCAGCTTTTCCTCTGCCTGGTATCACCTGGCACAGCCCTGCCCCATCACCACCATTGACAACCTGGCCCTCCGGTAACCCCTCCCGGGCTTCATCTAGGCTTAATTCAAACCACCTTCCCAGTGAAAGGAAATCATCTGTGCCACTTCCTGTCTCTCTGGAAGGAGCTGCTGTGGCTCAGCCGATGCCTGGGGTCTACCTTCTGGATACTAGTTCCAGTTTCCAGAAAGAAACAGTGAGTGGCCTTGAGTAAGTCCTAGAAAACTTGGGATGCACTATGAGCTGCAAGGGGGTGGGGCCAGATGCTCCCACAGGGCATGGTACTGATCTGGGAATGGAGCCAAACCCATGAAAAGTTCGATGTTTGAGGTCAGAGGTCATGAGAATTACACGCGCGCGCACACACACACACATCTACATACACAATTATGTATATAATGTATACAGTATGGTAGAGACATGAGATATGGGTCCTGAGCCCTACGTAAATAGTTAAGAATCACTAACTAGCTGTTTGACCTTGAAGGAAACTTGAAGCCTTCAGGCTCAGCTTTGTCAGGTGTTAAATTGGGGGGATATAGCCTCTGCCCCTTCTTGAGGCCACTGGGAGGAGCCAACAGAAGACTGGACATGAGGGTGTCCTGCACAGTGCTGTGCAAATGTGTGCGGTTGTTCAAGGTCATCCACAACATGGACTCTATAGACTCAGGGAGGCAGGAAGGACTCAAAGTGTTTTCAATCTTGGCACTCTTGCTCAAGAGGCTAGAGATTTCTGTGTATGAATAAAGCAGCATCTCTAACTTCCAACTGAGGATCTAAGGGGTCTCTAACTTCCAAAGGGTTAAGAACTGCTGATCATACATCCCCACTATTTTCTAGGGATGAAGGAAGCAAGCAAATCAAGGCTCAGAGCTTCAATCCTGGACCACCAGATTCTTGGGTGAGTTCTCTGACTGTTAATGCAATGCTTCTCCTTTTAATGAGTAAAATCTTGAGTCAGAGCAAGGAATTTGAAATGATGGCATGTAAGGCATAAACCAGCTGGGTGGGGAAAGTATTTCTCCAGCCTCTCTTCCTGAACTCACAGAGTCCTAGGTTTGGCCCATATCTCAGAATAATCCAGGCTTCCCAACCTGGTCTTAACTCAGTGCACCATTTTCCCCTCTCAATAAGCCTACTCTGAGGAAAGAACCCAAGTTAATCTCTACCCACCCAGACCTTGATTCTTCATTTATTCACAGCCCATCCAAGCCCTGACCTGTTGTATTTGTGCATTAAGGACTTGAATAACTATGTAACATGGTGGAGAAAAGAAAGAAAGAAGAACTTGGCCAACAGAGTCTAGATGCAGACGAATGGGGCCTGATGAAGCTACAGACACATCTTGAAGGACAGATTTGTATAGACAAAAGAAAGGGGCACCTGGGCGGCTCAGTTGGTTGGGCGTTGGACTTCAGCTCAGGTCATGATCTCATATCTTGTGGGTTTGAGCCCCGCGTCGGGCTCTGGTGCTGATAGCTCAGAGCCTGGAGCCTGCTTCGGATTCTGTGTCTCCCTCTCTCTCTGCCCCTCCCTTGCTTGCACTCCGTCTCTCTCTCTCTCAAAAATAAATAAACATTAAAAGATTAAAAAAAAAAAAAAAAAGAAGGTCCAGAACTTGAGAACAGAAAATGAACAGCCAAAACAGGGGACACAGAAAAAGCGACTCAACACCCACCCCACGGGAAAGTCTTAAGAGTTTTTATTGATAGTAACAGAGAAAGAAGACTGGCCAGAAAAAAACTAATGCGATCCTCTTTGCCTGCAGTAACAAAAGTATAAAGTGCGGAACAAAGGAAGTGATGGCCTTACTCTACACGGCCCTGATCAGGCCACACCTGTGCTGCTGTGCCCCGACTTCGAGAAGACCAATAACAACCTGGTCCCTTGAAGACCTTGTAGAGACAGGTAAGAGGATGGTGAGGGGACCTAGAAACCAGAACATCTGGGCATCCGTTGAAGGCGGTACGGATGGAAAGCTGGAAGGGGATACAAGAATACATGAAGGGCTGCGCGGGGACAGAGAAGGTGGCCTTACTCACTGTGGCTCCAGAGGTCAAAAGTGGTGTGCGGAAGCTGGAGGGCAGCACATTTCAGTTCACCACTGTCTGAATCCGAATGGCCAACCCACGCAGGTAGTAAGCTCCCCATCACTAGAAGTGTTCAAGCAGAGGCTGAGCAACGCTCTGGGAAGGACGCTGGGAGGGGACAGTCCTATAGCCGGTGGGGTATTCAGCTGGATGACAGCTGACGTCCTGTCTCTCCTCCAAACGTTCGGATTCTAAGGTTGAGTCCAGGGCAAGAATATGAGATCCATCTACCCAGACCATTGTGCCTGTGCTCCCAAGGGTCTGTGTGGATAGGCGTGGGTGTTTGCCCGTCTCCTTGGTACATGTGTGTGAGGGAGGCTTACCCCCTGGACTGACAACAAAATGGGGCGCCTGCGTGGCTCAGTTGGGAAAGCCTCCGACTTCAGCTCAGATCATGATCTCACGGGTTCAAGCCCCGCGTTGGGCTCCATGCTGACAGCTCGGAGCCTGGAGCCTGCTTTGGGTTCTGTGTCCCCCCCTCTCTCTCTGCCCCTCTCCTGCTCATGCTCGGTCTTTCTCTGTCTCAAAAATAAATAAATATCTTTTAAAAATTTTGTAAAAGTGGAGCTTTAATTGCTCCTGGTCATGTGATGTGCTAGCTAGTACTTCATTTATTTTTAATGTCTACGTCTATGCTCGCCATGCTTCCAAATGGTGTCGCAGCCCCAATGTCAGGGACTAAGGCAAGTCCAAGGCAGTCTCTGTCAAATTTCCCCATGTGGAAGCGAGGGTGTGGGACGAGATGCCCTCTGAGGAGGCCATCCCAGACCTTCTCTGAGTCTGTACTCCCCAGCTGGGGGGGGGTTGGGGGGGGACATCCAGCCAGCCTCAGGGAGGGCCCAGGGCCGGGGGAGGGTGTCTCACAGCTTGCGAGGCAGAGAGAAAAGATAACTCCCTTATGGGAACAGCGCCACTGTTGTTTAAAATGGACCACACTCAGCTTGACAAATACTGCAAGAATGTGCAGATGTTCCTTTTCACAAAGCCTTCTGTCTACACGGTCCACTGCAGCCCCACATGCGGTGGCTTCCCGTCTTCTGGCACTTGTTACCGCCACAGGGCAGTGCCTGCTCTAAAGGACCTCCAGGGGCCCACCTCAGCCCCAGCTGCAGAGCCCTCAGGGGACGGAGGGGCCACGGAGGCAGGGCTGGCCGGCCGGACCCCCGGATTCTCAGCAAGCGCGCAGGCGTCCTCAGGAGCCCGGCACACGGCAGCCCTAATAGCACACGCTGCCCGGTGCCGCTTGGCAGCCGTGACAAATGCCAGTTAAAGGCCCACATAGCTACCCTAATTATACCCTCCTCCCCCCGGGCGGCCGAAGGCGTCCTCAGTCACTGCAGCGACTCAGCCCAGCCCCTGTCCGAGGAGGAGGGACAGCCTGGGGTCTGTCGCTGGCCCAGGAATTCGGTAAGCCAAGCAGACGGACAGGCAGCTCACCCGGACACGCTGACGCGGTCCCTCCCCAGGAGGAGAAGCACTTGGCCCGGGCACTTTGGCTGGGAGTCTCTTCAGCAAGAACTGCCTGTGACTCATGAGTGAACACATAATTAGCGTCGAGGCTCTGGGCTTTGTTGGTTGGCGGGTTGGCACTTTTTTGGTTTATTACCATCATTCACATCCCCTAAACATGAGGTTCCCCTGGGAGGAGATGCCTTCTTACTGCAATGCCACGGAGCAAAACTTCTGGAAAGAGCCTGGGAGACAGATGTGCACATCTGGTCTTGACGCTAACTTGGAGCATGAGTTTAGGTAAATTCTCCAGGCTTCCCGTAAAGACTTCCAAGGGCCCTTGATAATTCTGGTATCTTCCGACTGGAGACGGCGAGGAAATCTGGCCTGAAGCCCCACCATGCACCTCACCCTCCCTTCCATGTACCACGAAGGTCTCCCCAAACGGCCAGCAATGCCACCTGGCCTGGCCCCACCTTCATGCCGGGACTGAGGAATTCATACCCATCTTTGCAGGTCTACCTTGTTTCAGAAGTCCTCTAGGCAGGGCTATGCCACTTCTTAATCAGTGCATCTGCAAATGGCCCAGAGCCATTTCACGGGATTAGGGAGCCCCGGGTCCTGACCCAAGCCAGTGCCCCTGGGGAAACTGAGGAGAAGAGAGACCTCCCTCCCTGGCCTGTGCCCTCTCCCCACAGAGGTGTCCCCCTAAACACGGCCTCATCTGCAGTGAC